CACAGAATGTTTGGACCGAAGATGGATGAGTAAACCGAAGAATTTAGGTTGTTACACATCGCTGAATTGCGCGAACTGTACTCGGTTCATATAATTGAAATGATTAAGTTGAGACGAATAAAATGGGCATGTAAAATCGCTAGGCTTAGTAAAGAAAGAAGACCTAAAAAAGTAATATGCGCCGTGCCGACTGGCAAGCGTCCGGAATGTAGGCGGAAGGGAAGATGGTAAGATTGCGTTAAGTCTAATTTGGCGAGGTTGGGTTTAGACAATGCCCGGTGGATGGAAAAACATCGATTGGTGGTATCGGCATCGAACCTTCGAGTCCTTTAAGCATTATTATTATTATTATTAAAAACAAAAACTACATTTTTTAATACAAATTAAAACGGTAAACACAATACTACATATTGAACAGAAGTCATAACAACACATATTAACACTCATAGCGACAGCTATTGTTTTATAATACCAGGTAACTAAGAAACCAACAAGGTTGATAACAACAGCTGTTGAACGAAAAAAAATAAAAGTAAATTTTATTCTGCAAGATTTTTTTTTTAATCTATTTATTGAATAATAATACAATCAGCCACTGCTGGAGGGCTATAAGCAATAGGGCTAAAAGTTCTCATTCATACAATATATTCAAATAATAAAGAAATAAATATAAATATAAGAAGTAAATAAATAATACTGATGAAGAAGGTAAATAAAAAGAAAAAAAAATAAACAAATAAAATAAAATAAGAACTTCTAAACACAATCATAGCTATATACAATATATACATTCGCCCCAGGAATCTCCGAGTCAGGCTCTTTCCCCCACATGAGAAAGGCCAAGCAAGACTCCGGAAGATCCCAGTGCCACTTTTCCAGCCGCATCACTAGTATTAGAAGCCAGTGGAGACCGAAAGAGGACACTAGAGCCACAGACGCTCAGGACATGAGTGGAGAAGCTGGCAACTGCCAGGACTCCAAAGGCATATTTACAAAAGATCTCGAGGCCACTGCCGTTTCAACCTTCGAGGGGGATGGTATGGATGTTCGGAGCTGGATAGGGATTGCGCTAGAGGATTGGGATGATGGATAAGGTTCTGGTGAAAGTTGGAGAATCTGGATGGGATGATGTTATGGACATATGGGATGTTAAGGTCATGGTGTAGGGTCTTGTTCGTGACATAATATGGAGCATTGACTATTGTTCGAAGGACTTTGGACTGGAAGGATTGGATGCGTTTGATATTCGATGATTTAGTTGTCTCCCCCAGTTCAAGTCCGTAGATCCAGATAGGTTTCAGTATGGTCTTGTAGATTAATAATTTGTTTTCTGTTGAGAGATGAGATGTTCTGTTTAGTAGTCTATATGGCTGACCAAATCGCCGGTTAAGCTCTCGTCTTTTAAGTCTCGTATGTGGGTTCCAAGTTAGTCTTTTGTCGAGAAGGAAGCCAAGGTATCGGACTGTGTCTGGGTAGGAAAGAGGAATAGAATTAAAAAGGATTGGCGGACAGGATCTGCGTCGAAGGCAAGATTTAGTCCCCTAAGAATAATTACAATGAACAGAAAGGTGACATTTGTCTATTATTATAAGAAAATAAAAAAATAATTAAGTAACATAATAATCTAACCTTAAAATTAAAATAAACACACCACGAGTAAACATATTAAATTGTATAAATATATATGAGTGTGTTCACATATTTGTACTGATTAGCATATTTGTATATTTGTATTGATGATAGTAACATTGAGCATAGTAACATATTTGTTTTGATGATATACAGGGTGTCTTGTAAGTAGCGGGAAATACTTAAAAGGTTCACAGTAGACATCAAGATATACAAAACAGTTCATATAAACAATTGCCAATTTACAGCAGAAAAGTAGGAAATTTAAGATTTGTGTTTTTATAATTGAGTCACGTTTTTTTATAAATAGGAAGCGATAACTTAAAAAATATTTTATTTAAATAATTAAACATTGCTCCATACCAAACTAGATAAAATTTACTTTGAAGGAAAGTAGAGTTTGTCATTGTTAAAACTATTTAAAGAGGACTATTGGGCGAACAAAAGCGGCCAAGTCCCTTTTAAAAAAAAATGTCATAAATTATTTGTGATTTTTTTTTTTTATAACTGTACTATATTTACCCACTTTCAGGAAAAACTTCCACGTATAATAAGCTTTAAGTCCATATTAATTAAGTTGAGGTTCATTTCTAAAAATTTTGTGATTCACCTCAAGTTGTGTAAACAAATGTTGTGATTTTCTATCCAGTCACCTAAAAGTATCCGTGTTTTCAGCAAAAATGAGTACAATGAACTGTTGAAAAGCTTTTATTTCTTGTTTTTCCGTGATATAGGATGTATTGTAATAAACACAATCGCCTAAAAACATACTTTAACAAAAAATTTAAAAATAATGATTTTCTAAATATTTTTCATGTAAGTTGGTTTTGAAACTGGGCTGTTTTCCCATATTTCTGTAATGGATATTGATGCGTATTTATAAGTGACAAACTTAATTATTCTCGCCCTAATATTTACGTTTTCATGAAAATAATTGAAGCAATCAGTAAGTTTTAGGAAGGACATTAAGTTTGTCACTGATGAAACATTTCAATTTCGATGACGGAGATCTAGAAGAAAACAAGGTTTCATAACCACTTAAAATGAAAATATTTGAAAAATCATTATTTTTATGTGTTTTACAATATATCCCATGTCACGGAAAAACAAAAAATAAAAGCTTTGCAACAGTTAATTGCAGTCATTTTTGCTGAAAACATTGCTACTTTTATTTGAGCGCACCCTCTTGAGGGTTAAGGAAGAGGATTTGCGTAAGGAGGTAGGTAAGGAATTCTAAAAAAAAAGCTAGCATGCATGACAATGGATTTTTTAATGGAAACATTTGTATGAGGGAAAATGTGTTCATTTCCCCTCATACAAATGTTTCCATTAAAAAATCCATTGTCATGCATGCAGGTTTATGGGCTGGGATCTCTTGTTAAACGAATGGTCGATCAGGCTTCCAAAATTTACAAAATTCTTAAACCCAGATTCCAGAAAACAATGATTCAAAATTAAATAACCAGACCAAGTACTTTGATTCCTGGTATAGACTCAAGAATCTGTATTAGGTCATCTGTCATTATACAGAAAAGAGTTTGGATAAGGACCGAGCCTTACAGTTGGCCTTGTTTTGCCTACCTGTATTTTTTATTTTCCTTGTCTATAACTGACATAACTAAATATTTTAACTAGGAAAGACGTAATATATTTAACAAATTGTCCCTGTGAGGAGTTTCTTCCTCCGAACCCTATGGAATGCAGAACAGATAATAGGTGACGCACAGTTTTCTGTGTTGCAAACGTTATAATATTTAAGGACTTACGACATCTCAGCAATTTCAGAAACTTCAAAAGAAAATTTCAAAAATTTTTACTAATAACTGACAGCATAAATCCACTAACAAAAATTCTCAAACGTACAAACATTGGTAAATAATATTTCATTAGTATGAAGCCCTCATCGACGACTAAGGAGATGGACGTCAAGAGATCTGCTTTGCTCCCCACGCTGAGACGCTTTTTATATGTCAACAAAGTTTTCTTATTTAAAATTACATGTTAATCTAAATTTTATTATTCGGTCAGTAAATACCTAGTCCTGTCGTAAATATTGTTACAAGGAAATATACACAGATTTCAACAGAAAAATTACTTTTTTCAAAACTTTATTCGAAAATAAAATGTATATCTATCGAGAGTAAAGCAAAAAAGAAATTACTCAAAATAGCAGCACGCAGCACTTCTTGATGAAAGCGCTCAACTGCTAGGACCAGAGATTATATGAGGCTGTCCAAGTTAGGGTGAGCTCTATAGCATGCCATCCTCTCCAGTTTGGACCAAATATGATAATCGAATGGATTGAGATCATTGCTTTCTGAGGGCCAATCCGAGGCAGAGATGAACTCTGGAATGCTCTTGGAATGCAAGCAGTGCTGATTTGGCCTGGCCTTGTGAGCTGGAGCGGAATCCTGCTGGAAAACTCAATGACTACCAGAAAACAGAGTATCATTTACAGGCTTGACAACAGGTTCCAAAATATCGTCTTCATAGTTTTAGCGGCTGTTTTAACTATTTTTTTTTCTCACAAAAATGGAGCTTTGCGGTGTCATCACAGCAAACTCCCGACCAAAACATCACTGAGGAAGTGTGGTGATCTCTTTTCACTCTTCCAATGATTTCCTGGACGTCTTTAGAGCTGTGTGCGTACACACGATCATTTTGGCGATAGAATTTTTCTTCAATCGTAAAAATGTTCTCATCGATAAAATCTTTCGATGAAGACCATTGGTGAAACGGCCAAGGAGCACTTTGCATTTATCCACTCTAACTTTTTTGCAGGGAAGTGGTTAGACTATGCCCTATCATTCTTCGAAATACACCCATCCTAAAGTCACTTTTTATTATTCGAGAGATTAATCTGTCAGAGATTTCCATTTCCCGAGACATGATTTGTAGCTTTCGAATGGGATTTCTTCTGATTCGAGCAGTCACTGCCTCTGGTCCGGTCGAGGTCTGTCACATACAGATAGGGTCTCATTATGTCTATTTATAGTGCGGTGCACGAACATACGGCCGAAACCCAAAGGTTTTAAAGTGTTGAAAACCTCTGACCTACATTCTCCAACTTTGGGTAAGGCAATCACAGCTATTCGGTTTTCTTTATCATCCCACTCCATGCTAACTGAGGGGAAAAAAAATACAAACTAATTGGGACCATTATCCTGACGTGTAAAGAAAATAAACTGATAGAGATAAGGATTATCTAAACGATACCCAAGGATGTGAACAAAGTTCAACTTTTGTAACAATATTTATGGCAGAACTAGGTAAATCAATATAAAATTTAAAACTTTATAATTTAAAACATATCATTTAAGTAGTTTAAGTTAGTTAATAATCTGTTTGTTTTTGTTCAAACATATGTAAATTAAAAACATCAAAATGACTTAACTTTTTACTCTCATTTTTTAAATATATTCATTTTTAAGCCTTCAAACAGGATCGCGATGTTCTGAAATATTACTAAATTAAAATTAATTCGAATCGTACAAACAATACATTAAAATATGTTCTCCGATATACCACCCGCCTTGCAACATACTTTTATGGATTGTTGTCGAAATCGAGAAAACGAACCAATAGGATGGGGAACGAATCAAAGTGGTGAATGCTACGCCAACTTTTTCAACGTTACTCAACAAAGCCTTCAACAATCCTTAAGTAATTGGCAGGTTGGAGATTTATCAGCAACACAGCAAAGATATGTTAGTGATACCCTCGTAATATCCGGTTGCAATCCTTTGATACCCAACACAGTTTGCCTCCAAAATCCACACAACCCAAACATGTTTCACAGCTACAATGTTGGCCAAAATAATTGCCTATCAACAGCGCCCCGAAAATCCTTGATCACTAAAGAACAAAAAGAAAAGAAAACAACGAAGAGTGAGAAAAAGGAAATTAAAACAAACAAGAGTGAGGAAAAGGAAATGGAAATAAAGAAGAATGAAGAAAAGGAAAATAAAACAAAGAGTAAGGTAAAGAAAAATGAATATTGCGAAGAATTATGTAAATTTCACATAGATAAAGCAGTACAAGAGATATGCAAGGCAATGCAAATTAATCCAACAATTAATAAGCAAATAAGTAATGTAGAGAAAAATCAAAGTTTCAGAGAATCTGAGAGACACATTTTTCCTAGGAGCAGAAGCCGAAAGATACATTCTGTAGACCATACACAAGAAAATGGTTTACCAACGGAAAAATACGAGAGTAAATCATCAACGGATCCAAACTACAAGCTACTTTTCGAAAAGATAGATATTTGGGCTAAAGTTAACTGCCGTATGATTCGAGATCTTTCTAAGCAAATATCAGACAGTAAATGCTGTCAGTGCCAAAAACATCAGGATGGGTCAGATAAACGAATGCTTACAAGAGATTTGGAAAGCGATGATTCAAAACAATCTAACTGTTATCAGAATGAATATGTAGTCTGCCAATATGAAGAGATTACAAATACCATGCATACCACCGCAGTAGAAGTAAAGCCAAAGAAATCCCGATTTCCTTTTTGGAAAAAATTTAAGCTAAGAATAAAATAGTCGGTTTACCGAATTAATAGAATTTTAGAAACAGGATATCAACAGAACATTTTAATGTAGATATGGAATAAGATTTAGAAGAACCAAAAAATATAAATTATAGCTCTAACAACAATAAAAAATGTGAATGAAAATCTAGTAAAATTGAAGATGATATTAACAGCCCGTGTTTCGTGAGAAAAAAAAAGTACTGCAAAATCGGATACTCTGAATATTATTTATTTACCTTAGTCCAAGCCAATGATTAATATAAAAACATTTAGATAAACAATGTCTCTGTAAATTATAAATAATAAAGAATCATTCCGCACTGATTAATCAAGTGATTTTGATTATTCAATTGAATTTTTGGGACTACCAATGTTGACATACTTAATAAGTACCGATTATTTCTATGATCGAAAACAGGAGTTTTTGGATAATCCTAACTAGAGGTTATCCCTATTAATGATGGTGCTATTTTTATGTAATTAAGGTTATCAATTTATTATACTCTTGTATTCATTTAAATTATAATGTGTTACAAATCATGGCAATAAAAACAGCAACATTATATTGTAAAACAGGCTAGATAAAAACTGCTGAAAGTCAAGGTAACTGAATCGTGTTTCAATTGCAAGTTGAAAACATTGTAAAATGAAGGAATATTTTCAGTTTTTAAATATCATTCGTTTCCGAAAATTGGTGATTGTATAATTCCTGGACAGCTGCACAAATTTTTCCCGATTTCCTAGGCAGAGTTTATTCAAAACAAACGTAATACAAGTCACTTTTACTCATAGTGTCCTTAATTTTTATTAATTTTACCTATTCTTGTAATTTATATTGAAAATAATTACGAAAAGTGTAATATATTGCGATATAGCTCTCTTATATTAGCGTATTCTAAGGGCGTACGTCACAGTATTTTTTTGTGCTAAATAGAACCTATCTAACAGATGTTTGATCCTAAAATTGAATGTTCAATACAAAATTGGTCATTTCTCAAAAAATACTATCAAATAAAACCAAGCTCTTTGCACTAATCATATTACCATTTCTTTTCAAATTTTGCAGTGCTATTAGAGGAGAAAATATAAGCATGAACAGAGCAAGAGGGCGGATATATGTAAATATTCGTTCAAAAGATTCGGAATCGGTCTGAATAAGGCATTTTGTTGAAATGAATACTGAAATACTTTTTATAATTAAGTAACTAAACCACACGTTTTAACCTGTATTTAATTACAATTATGCAGGTCTGTTCATAAAAAGTGATGAGAACTAGGGCATCTCATCACCTGAACATAAGATCTGATCACAAAAATGAAAAAAAAAAAATGGGAACTGATTTGACAGAATCTTACAGATAGTCTAGAGAGGATCATCCGACATCACATTGCGACGGAGTATTATCTCTATGCAGCGGCATATATTATTTACAAAGACAAATATTTCTTTCCCTGAACCGAACCGGCCATAGACGAAACCTCTGGGAACTATTGACAAGATGAAAATCTATATTCCGATCCCGATTTAAGTATTCGGGGCAGGTACATCATTTCTTTGCCAGTCGGTGTGATTTACCTCCAGTAAGCTGATGGGTTTCATACCAGGGTGGAAGGGAGAGATCTCGCGCAGTGTAGCTTTTACCTGGAGGTGGTCCACCAATTAATTAGTTCTAAACGGCATTGCTTAACCTTGATTGCCAATTGCAAGTGCCTAAGCCCGCTCGGCTATCTTAGCAAAATATAGAAGATACGATATGTTAAACATTTTATTGTGCTTATGCATCTCATTATTTTTTTTCTTCTGCTTCATTTTTCCTTTCTTCTCGTTTTATCTTAGTTGCGTTTATTTGATGATCAATATGTTGTCTTCTGATGGCATTTCTAATAACAGCCAAATACGATTTTAACAACAATTTAACAGTTAAACTTTATTAGATTTACTTATTCACTTAATTCTTTAAACAAGGTTTAAAATATTTTCCTCTTCCTTCTTACTGCCCAAATCGAGCATTTCAATAGTTCATAACCATCTCAAGAAAACATGTATTGTTTTGCGCAACAAAAACTTGTAAATTGGTCCAATAGTTTTCGCAGGCAGCAGTTAAAGCATGAAAATGGATGGATCTTTTATACAATAGTAAAGACGAAATGGATTAATAAATTTTTCACCTCAAAAATCGCATTGTAATCTTCACCATATATTGACTCTTTGAGCAATCCATGCAATGTGTAAAAATAATCAAAGCATAAACAATAATTATTTTTATTTTTCTCATTAGAAAATTCGTCTTTGAAGATGAATTCTTCGTTTTTTTACATAGTTGGTTTTTGGAACTTTTTTTTTAGGAATTCATAATTATTAAACCTCCGCCATCATCGGAAACTAATCCCAAACTTATAAATGAATCTATGTAAATTTCCCCCTATTCTGCACATTTTCTAACATTCTCAAAAGTAGGCAGTTGGGCTAAAACTCCGACTCAACTGCCGCCTCACCTAGCAGGTCCTGAACTTGCGCCCGACTTATAAAGCATTATGTCTCTCGTGATGAAGTATGACCCTAAGTAATGTTGTGTATGCCTGGAAATCAAATTTCGGTAAACAAGTGGAAGAGTTTTTGATATCTTTATTCATTCACTACATTTAAATAAAGGACGTATTTTAATAAATCAGAACGATTAAAAAAAAATTCACACATACGCCAACTATAATGAATTTAATATTTACTTTAGACATACTACCAGTTTTTTTTTTTTTTGTTTTTTTTTTTGTCCTATTGCTTCTTTAAACTTTTGAGTTTAGTTTTCTAATAGAATCTATTATTTTAGCTAACAAAACATTGAAGTCATTGGAAAATTCTGTTCGTCGTCTTCCGAATCGCGAATCGAGTCCGAAAGTCTCCTTTTCTCGTCGTTTCTCTTAGGAAAGTTGGAACAATTTAACTAGGACTATTTATCTTTTCATCTTCCCTCCACCACCTCTCCCTCTCCCCCCCCCCCAAAAAAATGGCCATCGCACATAACTTGGTCATGAAGATCAGGACCGAAACTTCTATATTTCATTGATTTTCCACTCCCCAAAATAAGAAAACAGTTTAGGTAATATATTTGCAAATAAATACCATCATCTCATTACATTGACTCCATTGTATTGACTGAATTAAGCTCAAAACAACTATAAAAAATCTGGTGAGCACAACACACAACTTCCATTTATCGCTCAACTTTAAATAGACATTATTTTTTTTTCATGTTGGGCTATTATGAAATTTTTGAATTGCATTTTTAACTGAGCTAAAGCTAAAAGATTGCAGCTAACAAATCATAAATACTATTAAAATAACAAAAGTCCTATTTATTATATCACCAGTTGATTATGGATGGTACGATCCGTTGATTATGGATTGTAGGACTATTATTTATTAAACTGTTTTCCATTGCAAATTTTACTAAAACGGATTAGAGAGATTTGCATTGCCTGTCATATACAGGTCAAAAGTTGTCACACTGATTGTAAGTGGATTCTGTTGGAATATCGCAAACGGAAAATTTATCAAATTATTCACTAATTTAATTTTCTAAAAGGTTACATAATGATTTTTTGGAATAAACGGACGATAGATACCTAATAGGTAGACCCGTTTTTGAGAAAATTGTGAAAATGTGTTTCAGCGTTCATCGGAAGTGGCACTTCCGGTTAGCCGATTTTAAGGAAAAAGTCACTGTCATATTTAAGGCATATATCTATCTTAAATACGTAATATCAGTTTCGTAGGTCTTTTCGTTTTTGAGCTAGACTGCTCACATACAAACACACAGACACACGGACCATTTTTTGGGACTTGGTTATTTGGACTCAGGGTACCTTAAACCACGGGCTGATCTATGGAGGGGGGCTTTCGGGCTGAAGCCCTCTCCCCCTCCCCCCAAAATGGTAAAATATAACCATGTTTTATGGAAAAAAAATATAAAAAAATTATCTCTTAAAGTAATGGGGGCGGGGTGGCCGAATAGGCTAAAGCGTGTGCAACAGCACCGCTAGTTGCCTGGCAACCGGATAACAGAGATTTGAGATGATATAAAAAGTACGAGTTCGCGTCCCGGTGCCGGAGGGGATTTTAAATTTCCCCGCCCTCACCCCCCGGCCCGGGAAAATCTCGTATAGCCTTAAAGGCGAGGTAGGGAAGAACAAAAAAAAAAAATCTCTTAAAGTATTATTGTTCGTGTAATTACATTTAAAAGGTCTTAAGGAATCAATTAAACATCATTTCATATAGATAGTTAGTTTCTTTCTGTTTTTCCAAAGTAATTATCGTCATTTTTATGAGAAAAAAAAACTTTCGGGCTGAAGCCTCCCTTCCCAAAATTAAATCCTGGATCCGCTTAAAAAGTGTGCCTTAAAACGTGTATTTCCATTGAAAACTCATTCAAAAATTTTCTCGATCGCAAAACTTACCCTTACTATATATTACATATATACGTAAGTGAAAGTAATTAGGGGGAGGGATAGTTTTCTTAAGCTAAAAATAAATTTCGCTCGAAATGTGCCAATCAGGTTAAATGCCCTCTTTGGCACATTTACGCCTTCCTGATTTCAACCTTAATGAAGATACAGAAAGATGTTAACAGTGGGAAAAGAAATACACCTTTGCCTTGTGTGAAATCAACAACAACAACAACAGCAAATGGATAAGCTACCCTTGCAATAGTTAACTCATTAACAGTGCCGACCTTAGACGTTCGGCGCCCTCCGGGTAATGACGTCAGTTCCTCCCCATAAAAAATTTAATTTATTTCTTAAGCTGTTTTATATTTGTTAATATTTGAATTTTATTCAATTCAACATTTCTCTAATACAGTTACTTTATTGATAGGCAAACATTAATTATTTTAATACATTTTATATATTTTTTTTAATTGTTCCTCTCCAGGTCGGAGCCTCGGGGCGATTGTCACAATTGCTCCACCCTAAGACCATTAATATGAGAGGTATATTGAAAAAGAGCTTTATAAAAAATTGTTTAAGACTCAGAAACATAAAGCAATATGTCCTGCCGATTGATATACGCGTCGATCTTGTGATCTAGTAGTGTTCTATTTTTCTATCACAATGTTTCACTAAATTGAAGAAACAGTTATAGAGAAGTGACTGATGTATAATTCATTTAACATTGAAGCAATCTGTTAGCCGTAACTAAATTTAATTTTCATAATAGTTTTGCTTTTTCATAAGGATGAAGAAGAGAATTTGACCTTGGAATATTACATACTTATTTTCAATTAAAGTTATAAAAGCCAAGATTAGTAGTTTAAAATGTTCCTCCAAGACTATTGTATTCTTACCAGTCTAATAATATTTGTAGATTGTATTATATGCAACTTTTAATTTGAAGTAATGGCATTGTGACTGTTGAAGAGGGCATTTAACTAGCCAGAAATGAATGTCATGACCAGTTCTAACATGTAACAATTATTCAGTGCTGTTGGCAAAATCGGATTAATCTGTTTTACAAATAATAAAATTGTCAGTTTTGAAGTGGAATTTCGATCTTTTCCGGAAATTATTAGTTATTTAAGCGTAAATTTAATATGCCTGAGTGTAATATTTTAAGAAGTTATTTCTTAAATTGCTTAAAAGACCTAATCTCAGGATGACAACCTAATTGGATTTCACTGATAGTTTTCCATTGTTTCATTTTGATACTTCATTGATATCAATGTGGTTAAATATTTATTCTTGTTGAAATAAATTTATCAATTGTTGTTATGATGAAACATTTTTAGAACTAGTTTATCCACATATCGCATAAATTCAAGTGTTCTCTCTAGTTAAAATATTCCTTTAGTTTCATTATGATCATTATGATAAAATATTCCTTAATAGTAAGGACCTGTTGATACATATAAGAAATCAATGACTCAGATTTTGAAAACAAATCAAAAAAAGAGTGGATATGTTAAGAATGATTTTCCTTTCTTCATTTGTTAAAATGTCCTGTCATTTAGATGCTTGTTGGTCTGAAATCTTCTTCACTTTCGCTCTCTTCAAAGCCATTTTTCAACATGCCACTATATGCAGGAATTGTTTTACAATGAAGTGCAAATGTTTTTCCATTATCTATTGGAGAATGTTCTGGTGAGTTCTTATTATCAGACTCCCCTATGACTGACAGCAATTCCTTTATTTCATGAAGAAGATGATAACAGCAATGCCATGATTTTTCCATTTTTTTAATATAATCGTCATACTGCTCTTTTACTGTACAGCATTTCTCAGTTTCCTTTTGAATACCTACATCTTTTGTATTATTGCATTCTTTAACATTTTTGTTGTTATGATATCTGAGCATTTTAGAACGTATACATTGGCATCTAAAGCTTACATATGAATCAGAAGACTTACGTTCATAAGAAATAGTAGATAGTTCTTCACTGGAACCGTTAGGCTTGTATCTATCAGAAGAACAACATTGTTTACATGATTCTGGCATCATAATAGCACATCTTATTTCTTCCACTTCATCATCAGTGCTTTCACGATTCTCAATTGGTTTTATTGAATCAAATGTTTGATATCCGGTTCCTTTACGGCCACACTGGCAATAATTGTTGTTTAGGTTTCCATAGAAAGCTTTTTGTGTAATCAAAGGATTGTAATAGGATCTATTAGTGAACTCATTCATTGTTGAGTATTTAGGGTGACACTTCAAAAGTTTAAGGGTATAAATGTTATGTTCAGTATCATCACAAACATAACTGCTATCATATGAATTTAGCTTTTTTTTGGCACTGCAACAACCCATTTTCTTATTTGGAGCAGGGATTGTTATGTCAACATCAATGTTTTGTTTATCCACTCCAGATTTTACAATGCACTCCTGAAAAGCAATTAGTTGCCTTCAAATGGCCGTGTCAAATTTGGTGATTTATCTCTAAACATTTCTTGTCTTTTAATCCAATTGCACTTATTGCCACGTTTCATGATATTTCTATTCTTTTTATTATGCCTGCCTACAATAATAAAATATTTTTTTTATTTTTCTTTATTTTCTTACAAATTAATTTGTTAATGAATCTCCTAATACTAATTTAACATTGTTACTCTAACTACTTACCAATAAAGAACATGTGAATAAAATATTAATATTTATTCACCCAAATGCATTCAACATATGGTTTTATATGTTTGAAGTGAAATATTCTTTTTTAATGTTTTTAAGTTTTTACTTTTTTCTAAAGTTAACTACAAGTTATGGAAGATAAATAAGAAGTTTATTTTTTCACCATTGAATATTTCTACATAAACAAGTATGGATAACAAAACCAGTTTTGCAAACTTATATAATGTTCATGATTACGAATTTAGAGAACTATTAGTTGATAATTATATTTGTATTACCCCTGGAAGAATCAAGAATATCTATCCATGAATTTGATTATGTACAAACAATAACATGAAAAAAGTGTGGGAAACCTAAGTACATACATATATATGACCAATAACTGGACAATAAAAGTAAATTAAAATACCTGGCAAGCCATCCAATCAAAATATCACATGGATGAGTAAAATTTATGAAACAAAATTTAATATTTACTATGCTTTTCACTTCACCTTTTAAAGATAAAATTCTCACATTGTTAAAAATTTATTAATTAATTTTACTCATTATTTTTTTAAATGCCAAAATCATAATTAAAAGACTATCAGTCACCCGCTCGTATTTTTTTAATTCATTCTAATTTAAAACTGTCAAGGTCATTTAGTGGTTGGGTTTATTGCCTAATAATCATGGAGACTTTAATTAATTCCCAATTTTGCAAAAGAACAAGATCCGATGCACAATAAATTTATCATATACTGTTCTAGAATTAATCAAACAAGTAGAAACTATTAGTTGTGAAAGAATGCAAGATTAACAATTTAGTGTATAACTGTTCACAATGTATAATGGTGGATCACAATCAACAAGGATATAGTCTGTGGGTCAGTCAGAAAAATCATCTAATAAATACTAATTATTTATTCAATACCAACGTTTCAAACCACATTGTGAGTCTTCATCTGGCTGAAAAATCTGTATGAAGAAGACAAGTGGTCTGGTCTGGTATTATAGCTAATGCAGCTATTCTGTCTACACCAGATTTAAAAAAAAAAATTATTTCAATCTGATTGTATCAGATAAGAGGTCAATTTTAAAATATTAAGATATGGACTGCTATATGATTCCTTCAATGAACAATGTAGTGAATTATTTTTTCGAAAAATCTCAATTTTTGAAACAAATAACTTCTTGAAGGTATTTTGTTCTGCATCATTCAGAATTATATAAACTATCATATAGTCTAGGAAAAGAGTAATCAGTAGCTAATGGGCCAGGTGGGCACCAATTAAGATACCAATTTTTAGGCCTGATGTTATAAAAAGTACAATTTCAAAATGGATAGTCATTAATTATGAAGAAATATAAGCTCATGCATGCATTCAAGTTAATATTCTGGTAAAATTATTAATTTCTTGATTGGTTAACAGTTCTTGGATGGATCCATGATAAATATAAAAAAAAAATCTAGGGGAGAGGAGTTGGACCCATAGGACAATATTTTAATGAAGTTTTATTTATTTATCTTTCTCCAGAAGTTGTGATGGCTAAGTGAGTTAAAGCTTAAATGTATTTTACTGAAAAGATGTTTGCAAAAAATGAGCAGGCAGGATTGAAGTCTATGAATATTTTAAGAGAACATATATGTTCATTTAGCTTGAGAATTCTAAAAGAATGAAATAGTAGAACGCTCACAAAATCAGTTGAATTGGTAAAAACCATAAATTTTGTAAGACGGGGGAAAGGTTTTTTCGTATTTTATTACTTATTGATTATAGATTGAGAATTTCATTATTTCTTGTAATTAGAGTAATAGAACAAAGGAGAACTTCTTGAAAGTATTTTTTTCTTGAAAAAAAAAAATAAAGTAGAAGGTTCAAAAACAGCCTTGGTGGAGAATTTGATGTTTACCATAAACTCATCTTAATATATTTAATCATATTTTAATAATAGCACACCCTTAATTGTCATTGTACAACAAAAATATGAAAGTGAATGGAAATTGTGTTGGTGAATGATAAATTCTTTACACTTAATATTTTTAATTAGTATTTTTGAATTATTTTTTATTTCCAAAAATATGAATCACTTGATATGAGCAAGATAGAATCCACTTTCCAGTTAAAAAACTAAATATATATAAATTCAGTTTTTTAAATATTTATAAATAAAATAACTTTTAAAATTATAATAAGAAATTTAAATATACAATAACTATGAATAGAATATTAATTATATTACAATTACATGTGTACTTCTAGAATGAAGGTTGAGTTAGTCAAAGTTAAAATAAACAAACTCAAAGAAGTGAAAAAGCAACTGCGGAAAAAAAAGTGTTCAACTAAAAAGAATTTGAAGAATTTACTTCTTGATAATGAAGAGAATAAGCATGAAGATAATATACTCTACCAGTCAATCACTGCTTTATTTGAAGTATACTTTGTTTTAATTAAAGTGTGAATAAGGTGATAAGTAACATTTTTTGAGTTCAGAGAAAACTTAATTTAAATCACCTTTATTCACTATAAGGCAGAAGTATATCATCAATGGGTAGCTCTATCAACTCAAATATTGAATATGTTTAAAAGTAAGGATGAATTATTAAAAATATATCATTCCATGCCTTTTTTCTTTGGCATGATTCAATTTTTCAGCATTATGTCACTTATCACCTTTATCCATTTACTTTTAATCCTAATTTTTATTTCCAAAACCGTTTTGATAAAATTTTATTTAAAGAAATTTGTTATAGTCTATTAGATTGGAAAATTCGTAGATATTAAAGTTATTTTCAGTAATTATTCTTCTTCATTGCCATTCCTGGAGTAGCTTTAGATTGCTTATCTGTCCTTATAATGTTTTAAAGTTGCATAAAATTGAAGTAAGTCTGTAGAAACTCCCATGAATAGTTCATGTTCATCCTCTGGTCATTCCCTATTTTAGCATGATGGCCATTTTAAATGCTATGTTCCTGACCTCGCGTTTCTACGGCGAGTAGGGGGTTCCAGGAATCGCATTTATTTGTATTTATATGTATTTATATCGGTCCCAGAAGGGAACCGATCAACTTAAAATATATTAATGATGTATTTAAATGTTAGATACCACAGACCCTCTACTGTAGTATCCTAGATTGAACCATATACTATTTATTGGATTTCCTTTCTAAAGGTATCATGTTTTTAAATTTACTATTTGTTCTATATCTAACTGGTGGCATGCAAGGTAGATGGTAAAAGTACGACGTTGGTTTACTAACTATTATATTTACAAGCTTAAATAAAACCAAAAACATCTATATACAAAATAATAACTAAACCTATATACATAATGAATAGTTGAGAATCATACTGGAGGAGAATGCTTGATGTTTGATTAAAGTTACATGTGTTATATTGAATATATTAATTAATGATTGATGGTTGCCAACACAAATTTACATTTTCCATATTTCTGGTGGAAGGTGTGAAAAGGTTTTTCGGGATCCTGTTTAAACACTCAGTTGTCGGTCTTGGTCGGTGGTCCTTAAAGGTTTTTATTACCACTTACAAAAGGTTGGGCTTGTTGGTCGTTACCCTCGTTCAGGTAGCGCCAGATGTGGCCACTTATGATATTTATTTATACCTTTAAAATAATTATTCCACCGGCGGTCTTTACAATACATACATGTATAAGTATCCCGATGTTGACGTTAAAATGTTTTTCATGAACATACGCCAGCCCATTGTTTAAAAACAAGTTGTGACTTCTCCTTTTGGAGAGCTAGAGGTATATATGATTTAAAAATTTGTGAATGAAAATGAAAGGACTGTTGTAAATGATGAGAATGCTATGAGCTTCTAGACCAAGGATATGATATAAAAGTTTAAAGGTAAAAGATGGTACAAACCACTTAGAAACTAAAGGTAAAATTTTTGTTTTTATTATAACGGTTGCCACACAAGGTACTTATACTAAATGAATATATATGTTGTGTTTATTACAGTCAGTGTATAAACAAACCTTCAATAAGGGAACCAGAGGAATAAATGAATTCCTTTTTTGACTCTTTTCGTTAAAGACTCTTTTTTGAGAGTATAAATAAGAATCATAGAAATAGTGTAAATATAAAGTGAATGTTAGATATTCAAGGCAATGACACTATAAAATGTTGGTAAAGGAGGAAGAAACATAGTTCAATGAGAGTATTGTAATTAATGTCATTGTGTATATATATAAGTATATGGTTTGTTTTGTGTTCCACTAAACAGATAGATAAACTATAAAGAATTACGAGTAGTGGTATTGATATATTGCAGAATTGGTAAATTTGAGATATGTAAGTAAAATTGAATTACTGGTTGTGTAAAAGCATATTTTTTCAATATTTCTAGTAGTTAAAGTATAAGTCTGTGTATATTTGAGTTAAATCTCATCCTATATTGTTTATAAATAAATGTTTACTTTTCATTCTAAGATCAGATAGAGGAAGCCTATTGTAAAGGTATAGAGGAATAATATCTAAAGAAAAAATCAAATAAACAAGTTTATTTAATTTTTTCTTTTCCCCAAGACTAGGAGAATGCTATGTATTGTAAAGACCGCCGGTGGAATAATTATTTTAAAGGTATAAATAAATATGATAAGTGCCAACATCTGGCGCTACCTGAGCGAGGGTAACGACCAACAAGCCCAACCTTTTGTAAGTGGTAATAAAAACTTTTAAGGACCACCGACCAAGACCGACAACTGAGTGTTTAAACAGGATCCCGAAAAACCTTTTCACACCTTCCACCAGAAATATGGAAATCTGTACCTGCTGCTTTACCTTGGCCTGGGGGAGAGGGCGTGGTCATCCCTTACGCTGAGAATATTCAGCCAATCATGAAAAAGACTACCAAAAGAGAGGGGGATGAAAAAAGGTGGGAAATGGAGAATTGGGACTGAACACTTCCTTTTGGAACTCCGAGGAGAGGACTTCTTTTTGCGACTCGGAGGAGGAGACTTCCTTTTGGGACGCAGGGGAGAGGACTTACTTTTGGGACTCAGAGGAGGACACTTCCTCTTGGGACTCCGCGGAGGAGAGCTGGGACACAGGCTGAGACTGGATCAGGAGAAGCGGAGAGAGCAAGACAGGGACTGATAGCTGGGACTCAGGCTAGGACACAGCCGGAGGGAGCAAGATGAAGACTTGAGGACCAGATCGACGGAGCTTCCAGAGAGGTAGCCAGAAGAGCTAGAGATACCGACAACACCCCTCACCAGCTAAGTAATAACCTTCATTTAGTTATACAGATGTAAACTTGTGTTGGCAATCATAAATTGTTAGTTAATAGAGTCAATTTAACACATGTAACTTTAATCAAACATCAAGCATTCTCCTCCAGTATGATTCTCAACTATTCATTATGTATATAGGGTTAGTTATTATTTTGTATATAGATGTTTTTGGTTGCTGAATTTGTAAATATAATAGTTAGTAAACCAACGTAGTACTTTTACCATCTACCTTTCATGCCACCAGTTAGATATAGAACAAATAGTAAATTTAAAAACATGATACCTTGAGAAAGGAAATCCAATAAAAATTATATGGTTCAATCTAGGATACTACAGTAGGGGGTCTGTGGTATCTAACATTTTAATACAGAATTAATATATTTTTCTGTAGATCAGTTCCCTTCTGGAACCGATATGAATACAAATATAACTATTAAATACAAATAAATGTGGTTCCCGGAACTCCTTACTCGCCGTAGAAACGCGAGGCCAGGAACATAGCATTTAAAATGACTGGCACGGAAACGATTAGATCATTGAAGCTTGACCAAAAATTTGTAGAAAAAAACAGTCTATCTGTCACTGGTAAAATTTATCCACAACTGTCCTTTTGTGATTTTATAATTATATTTAATTTAAAAAAAATAAAATAGGATATAAAATATCTTTACCGATACTACTGTCTTTGGTTCAGTACTTTATTTTTTCCTAATGTTTTCTCCCCTTCCTTACCTTTCAGGCTATATGAGGTTTTTCCTGCGACAGGAGAGAAGGCAGAGATATTCTGCCAGAATAAAAGTCCTCTGGCACAGTGATTTGAATTCATAAACTTAGGATTTTGTATATCTTGGCTCATTGATAACTCAAGACAACGGACCTGAACAATAGGTCCGTCATAGGATCATAGCTGCAAACTGAAGCTATTTTTCTATGACAAGTCAGTTCCGAAGTGGAGCTCCCTCCAGAAATTCAAAGTTATGTCTTTGCCACCCTGTCCCCCAGGGTTCAGTACTTCCTAAGAAAGTCCCCATTGAACTACCACACATATTTAATTCAATAAATACAGAATATTCTAATTATAAGGTTACATAACCTTTCTCCCTAGTGTATCCTGATTTGGAAATTCATATATATATATATATATATATATATATTTCTGGAACATTCACATGATTATAAATCTGAAGGCTAAGTAACAATAAGGATTTTAGAACTAAAAATTCTAATTTAGGATATTATTATTTATATCAACTTTTATAATTCTATCTGTCCATTTTTTACTTACAGGATGACGAAAATAATAATGAACCGATAAATTCCTCAAGAAATCCTGACAGTGTTATGTCAGATTATCATATTGATTTAGAAGATTTATTAGACTCATTGGGTGCTTACCAAAATAATTTTTTAGAAGAGGGTCCATCTGAAAGTTTGCCAGTACTGGACTCAAATATTTGTACAGAGAGAAGAGAAGAATGTATAAACTTGACATTTGATAATGAAAGCAGGAATAGTTTTGGTTTTGTAAATGAAGATAATAATAGTAATGGTGAACACCAAGGAGATGAATTATATCTTTGTGATAATATTGAGACAAAATCTCTTTTCTTTTTTAATAGTAGTACTGAAAATTTGGAGTCAAATACAAATATAAGTAGCACACAGTTAGAACCAGATATGGCAGATTTAAGAACCTATTATATTCCTGATACAATATGCGAAAATATCAATGACCCGACAATAATGGTGGATGATTTTTGTAATGAGATAGAAATTTCTATTACTGATGAGCTAAATAAAGACGATGAAAATGAGAATGAGAATGATGAGCAGGTAATAACTTTTAATAAGCCTATAAAAATAACTTTTTAGGAACCAAGGAGAACATGAGTTTTATATTTAAGATATTTTTTATAATGAAATATTTAAAATTTGTAATAAATTTCGAAATTACAATAACAGTAATGATCACTAAAAGGTGCTTCTGAATCAATAATGAATTCTGAAAACTGTTTTTTAGGCATCAGAGTATAATTGGTAACAGTGTGGTCTGCAGATATTTATAAGTGAGTACTCAATTATTACAGTGAAACCTCTGGAAGCTGGATGGTTGAAAATATAATTTCCAAAGAAATTAATTAATTACTTAAAAAATTTATTTTTTGGATTGGGGTAGATGAAAATGAAAAAAAAAATCTTCATAATTCTGTAACAAATTCTTTTTAAAACAAACTCAAATGAATATTCCATGAGGACATAATGTTTTGAAATTAAATGATGATTAGTTTTTAATTATACATATTAAATTTAAGTAAAAATATAATAATCCAGCAAAGGAAAATTTAAACAAAAAAGAAATCAAAAATCACGTTGCGCAAGAAATGGATGCTTTAAAAAGTAGGATTAGGAGATTGAGACCATTATGCATGAGTAGCCCGGAAAGAATTGTTAAGAGAGGCAGCTTGAGTTAGCAAGGCCTTGTCAAACACAGCAGTTCGATTGGGAGGATGGGAGAAGTCAGAAGGACGAGGTCGGGTGGTATGGGAATGAATCTAAGATTTAAATTGCAGGTTCTGTGATGACGAGGACAAGTGCTGAGTTCTGGTTACTTGGTAGAGGTAAGACACAAGGAAATACTGAAGGCTGTAGGATTGATGGATCCATTTTAGTATGACTAATATTGGGATATAGGCCTATCCCTTGCGACCCCAAAATAAATTTAACTAAGCTGGTCATAAGCCATTTAAGTCAGGAATAAGACTAGGAGTTTACGGGTTTTAAAGAGGAGGAGATCACTGATAACAATTATTACAAGCCCAAGTTTGAGCTCTTAACACAAGCAATAATAGAATATATTTCTGACACATCCATCTGTTTTTTTTAACAGATTTGTGTTTTGTGATTTGTGTTTTTAACAGATATTTATCTAGCTATATAATATTTTTTTTTCAAAAATGGTAAAAAAAATAAAATAAAATGCAATTATCTTCTTTTGTTAGTAAATGCTTCATTAATATATGCCTCCACTTAAAAATAATTATATTTGCCTGTATGATTTGTCTGTGATATCTTCAATAATGTGGATTTACCACAGATTGAGCTGACTGATGAAGTAGATGATCCAGTAATGCCTAATGTGAACAATGCTCAATTGGAAGGAGAAAAAAATAATCATACAGAAAATGATGTAACGTCGAATGCAGTTAGAGGAGTAGCAATAGTTAATCCACTACTAGTTTCTATCCCAGAAGACGATTTACAGGTAAAAAGTCTTTTTTTTTTTCTTTTAACAAATTGAAAATTATTTATGATGATACTAATTCATGTTACAGACAATGGCATTATATCAACTTCAACAGAAAAATGATTCACAAGAAATTAATAATTTAGGACCAACTGAAATATTGGTAAGTGTAAATAAATTTTAAACTGATATCATATATAAATAATTGTCAACTTCAAGTTTAGTAGGTTTTGGATACTTAAAGGAGTATTCCCTTTGATATCTATAAGATTAATTTTATGAACCACACTGAGGACCTTGACCCAGAAGAGGTTGAAAAACCAGATATACTGGGTGTAGAACAAGCTATCAAAAGGCTCAAAACAAGAAAGGCCCCAGGGATAGACAACCTACCATTAGAACTGTTTAATGATGGAGAAGACGACTTAAGGAGCTCGACTCTTACTTCAACTAATCCAGGAAATATGAGAAGAGGAAGGATACCTGAAGTTTGTAATATGGGCCTAATCTGTCCTATCCTAAAGAAAGGATCCATGTATGAGTGTAGTAATTACAGAGGCAACACACTCCTTCCAGTTGCCTACAAGATAATGACCAATATCCTACTAAACCGGATATATCCGTATTAGGAAAATATAATAGGTGACCACCAAGATGGATTCAGAAAAGGGAGGAGCATGCTAAAGCAGATCTTTATACTAAAACAAGTACTCGAAAAACGATGGGAAGTAGCTTAGGACGTCTCTGCCCTATTTGTCGATTTCAAAGCAGCCTATGATTCTGTGGATAGGAGCTGTCTAACACTAACTAACCAGCACCCTAGAAAAAAATGTTGAAAGATTTGAGAAGAAAATCCTCCACACGATAACTGGAACGATCTAGGAATCGAGTACTAACACATGGAGAACAAAGACCAATAAAGAACTGCTTACAGAAACTGGTCAATCAATATCAATATGATATGAAGGCATGGAGGTTAAGATTGGTGAGACATGTAGCTTTTAGCAATCGATCTGGAAGGCTCTATGTAACAATGAATGCCTCAATAGGAGGCAAAAGACCTCGTGGAAGGCCAGAGAGCTGATGGATAGATAGAATCAACAAAGATGCAACAGAGCTGTGTGCAGATAAATGGAATGAAATAGCCCAAGACATTCAGACCCAAGATAGAGATGGATCGGGCACATTAAGGCGGCAAAACATCTCTACATGGTCTGTAATGAAAAAGAAAAAAAAAAATTAAGTTTAACCCAATATCCTTTTCTCACAGAATATTTATCTAGAATCTGCTATTCTTCAATGAAATAATAAGAATAATCATGTGAATGTTCTAATTAAGCTTAATTAAAATTATTAATGCTATTTTTTACATATTTTTACGACATAAAAACGACTGATTATGAATTCATGACAACAGAATATAACACAATTAGGAGACTATGTTTTAATATAATTTAAACACAGTCATAGTATTTTTAATATTTTAGAAGAACTACAGCTGGGAACAACAGGCAAATATCATTGCAGCAGCAAAAATGTTATATACTAAAAGAACAAGGACACTCTTACATTGGTTGGATCCAAAACTGACTTTGCCAAAACTGAGGGCTACTTTGGAACTATCTTGGCAAAACCTTCCACTATGGCAAAAAGAAGTTTATATCAGTCAAGTAAGGGAAACTATTTTTTTTTTTTGTATACCAAACATATAGTAATGTGATAAATTTGTCTTAAATTTTATTTAAAGTTTAAATATATTCTTTGAACTTCGTATTAAACTGACAAAAGAGTATTGATGATGATGTTTTATGTAATTTAAGTAGTTGTGTTATAGTAACAACTTAAATTTAAATAAATAATATCGTTTATTAGAAAATGATAAAATTATATTTCTTACAATAACATAATAACCAACACTCTCTATCTATTAATTTTAAAATTGGAAAAACAAATTTGATGAGGTTTGTTGCTGCCAAAAGCAAAGCAATCCTATTAAGAGGCACAAGTGAGAGGTCATAACCAATGGCCTTGGAGATCAAGGAAGAAACAATTAGGCCCAGTGAGATGATAATCTATCTTGGTGGCCATTTGGATTGGAAGTTTAATATAATATCTCACTTAGAATGCTTGGCGACCAGGATGACAGTTGCCCTAAATGGTCTCTATCATGTTGGTGAGGCCTTCTGATACCGTAGATACCAACAAGAGTTCCCCTCAGCAAGAGATCCAGAGGACTTAACTGTGAGGATTGAGGAATGGCCTAATAGATGGAAGACAATATTGAGGGAGACCACCATTAAAGAATGGAACAGGCCGTGGGTTACTACCACAAAGGGGTCACCCTAGCAGTCAGATGGGATAAAACTGACAATTAGTTCTTTTGACTCCTCAGTGGACATGGGGGTTTTTATGCCAAATTACTCAATCTTGAACAAGATATCAATCCCCTATGCTCCAAAAACCACTTAACATATAATTACCAACTGCACTGTTCGATGCACTGAGATTCAAGCTTAAAGAGAAATACAAACATCTACAGCACAAAGAAAAAGATTTACCTCTACTTGTTTCTGCAGATACTACTCATACTATGAGGCCTTCATGTATAGGTGGAAAACAATATTAGGTAATGGCCATTTCAGTATGGGTGTAAGGCAAAGGAGACAGGAAGTTCCACAATTTCAATCTGGGATAATTGATCAATGGTAAAATAGAAAAATACTTAAACTTTATTTTTTTTTTACTATAAATTGCAATTCGTTACTGTCCAGAGACAAGGGAGGAAGAGAAAAATAAATAAATCAATTTTATCAAGTAATATTTTTAAGTTTTAAAGTTATATCTTAAATTACTAAGAAACCTAATATTTTGTACATATTATATCATCTGGTTAATTTAAATTTATATTTTACAATTTCAAAAAACTTAAGGTAAATTTAAATGTATAGGTAATGGGCCCACTAGCAGTGGAGGCCACTCCAATGCTAAATCCACAGCTGGAAACTGTAGATTTTAAAACACCAGCACCACCTGAGAAGCCTCAAATTGAAAGAAAAAGATTTGCAGATTTCATAGCAGATCTATAAACCAAAAGAAATCACATTCTTTTTCGGGTATAGAAGTTATTTCCATAGAAATATAATCTACATCATATTATTAAAGGATAGCATGACGATCCAGAAGCACTGCATGGATGGAAATATCTAATAATCTGGTAATTTTTAAGACATAGATTAACTAATCACTTTCATAAACTAGCTAGATTAACTAATCCCACAATTAAAATATGAACAGTTGACCCCCAATCTTCTAAATTGGAAAGTGATTGCTGGTACCATCCCAGATGTTAGATGTTAAATTTGTTTGTTTTTATTTAACTTAATGTATCAGAGGTGTCTCCCCCTCACTCCTGCCAAGTTTGATGATGTATTCTCTCATCCTCCCCATGAAATTTTATTGTTCTTCTCTTTAGAAAGACAATGCAAAAAACATAAAATTAGAAAAATTGTGATTCATATGCAATTAGAGTTGCTGTGGTCTGTTTCATGTTTTCTCTTGTTACCTGTTTTGAAAGTTAATCCAGATTGAAACCTCACTTACCTTCCAAAAACTCACAATTCTGTCAATATTTTTCCCTTGTAAAATTTCAATACCCCATAAAAATGTGGTCCTCCCCCCAAAAATTTTGATGGTACAACTTGTTCCATGCTACTCCCTTCTCGACACCTCTTTTATGATTACCCATTATTTTTCCTACCTTGCTAGTTTGGTAAGTAGTTTCATAAATAGAACTTCTGGCCCACCCCAATTTAATTACATAAAACTGAACGTATTTAAAGTTCTATAGGGTCTATAACTTCTGAAACTAAACAATGAATCCTAACTGTTTTTAATGTTTTTACCCTGAGCCATATCAGATGAATAAGTTTGCACCACAATTCTATTCAAAATTTGAATAGAATTGTGGTACAAACTTATCAAAGCTTATGGTTTATTTGAATTTCAAATAAACTATAAGCTTTGATAATAACAGGTTTGGAACATTTAACTTTGGATTTCTTAAATTGTTGCATTTAAAGCAATATTTTATCATTAAATTATATTTTGAAGTTTAAAAAAAATTGGTGTGCACATCACACAACTTTCTTCTACCGCTCTACTTTGAATAGAACTTATTTTCTGGAAATGCTGTACTACGTTTATGGCTTACCACTTTTCTAAGGCAGATTGGGGGTCCCAGAAACTAAATTTATTTGTATTTCATATTTATATAAGTATTTCTGGTTCCAGAAGGGTACCGATCTACTTATAAATATATCAATTATTTTTTATTTAAAGGCTGCACTCCTCTCAACTGCCTCAACCAGAAATATCCTGAACCTCTGGCTATTTCTGGCTATTAGAGCCACAAATACCACTCCTCTCTGTTCCTAGCTAGATTCCTGGCCTGATGTAGATCATTGCGTCTCTCTCTACAAAGTCTATCAATATATTTCAGATAAGACATTCTTGGTAGTTCTCTAGGTCATGCTGTAATATCGCAGGCATATATCTAACTTAAATATGCATTTTAAGTTCCGTAAGACTTTTCGTTTTTGAGTTAGACTCAAACTTCGACCAGGGATCTCCAAATTTTTGTTCTGCAGGTCGCATTAAGACCTCGACTAAGTTACGCAGGGCACATTGAGACCTCCATCCAAGTCCCATTGGCCATACCTTGTGATGACAAAAAAATCTTGTTCTATAAATCACACTTCAGCTGTGAAATAAACTTTCTAAGAGGAAAAAAACAGGCAATAAATGATGTAGTAACCTTGCGTGTAAATGATTTGTTTAATTTTATATTTTTAAATAGCTTTTAAAATTTTACCAGGTAATCACAGAGAACTTTTGCGGACTTCAGTTTGGAGGCTGAGTTAGACTGTTAACTTAAAACATACAGACACACTCTAAAAAGTTTCAGCAGTAATAAATTTACTCATTGGTACCGACAAGATATTTTTCTGGGACAGCAATTTTTGAGGAGCTGTAGAATTTTAATGAAATTTGTGTATTTTGATTCAAACAAATTTTTACTTACCTATGATACCTGAGGGTGGCATCAACAAATTCTAAAACTTAAGGGTTCCGGGAAAGGTTCAGGTCTTCCTAGGATGATAACTTCAGTTTTATATAAAACTTCATGCCAAATTATTTTATATTTGAACCAATAGTAATTATTTCTTGACAAAATTTAAAGCTAAATTCATAGAAATATTTTTTTGTTTTATTGTTGTAAAACCGACAGGGTATTTTGTAAAACCTCTTTTAGTGCTGAGCTGACTACAACACCTGCCGGTTTATCATTGTATTTCATTTTCTGATTAAGTTACAGGTGATTTAAAAAAATCAATGTTAAAATATACACAGGCTTGTTATTTTGACTTTGACATAAATTCTGGTAAATATGTGGGTAATTCATTACAATTTATCATATAGTGAAAAGCATAAAATCGATTGTACAAAGTACCGTATTTAGTTTTTCAAAATACTACATCATAGATGTGTGAGTGTAAGGGAAAAAATAAAATTTTACTGGTTTAGAACAAAACAAATTTTTCATGACAACTATCAGTCCACATGGATCATTTATCTAATGCAATGCTGGTAACAAATAAAATTGAGCCTTGTAGTACAAATAGATTTTTACAGGTACCCATAGTATCGATAAACTACATGGAGACCAAATTATAAAAATGAGATAAAGGACATTTCCTTCTAGCAATGACAAAACACAAAACCAAATTTTAATGATTTATATATCTGTGCTCCAGAAATAAAGGACACTATGCCCATTAATAAGAATTTAATAAGATAAGAAATTATTAAATAATTGAGTAGTTAAGAAACAAATTTTAATTACTCAAAGTTAAGGAAAATTGGCTCCTCTGAACAAGTATCAAATAATACAACAATTTGACATGGTGTCCTTTACCTCCTGGGTAAAGTTATATATTATTATTTATATTATCTTTTATCATTTATTTAAGAAATAAAGTTTACAAAGTTTTATTAATTGATTTGGTATCTCATAAAGAGGAGATATGTATAGAAAATTAATTTATATGATAAAATTATTTCATTAAATTAATGAATTAACCTTAAACAAATATTTATTTTTATTAAATAAAATAAACGTTTTTTTTTCAGTGTCTTAAATTGTTTCAAAAAGAAGCAGTACATGAAATGAAATAAACTCTTTAGAAAAAAAAAGTCTTTCATTATTATTACCTAGTAGCATAAGAGCACATACTAACCATATGAGCCATTAATAAAAAAATTAAACCAAATTAAAATTAAACCAAAAAATTAAATAAATAAATAACCAGTAACAAAAGAACAAATATTTCAGTTTGAAGAAGGAAAGGGAAGTTTAATTTGTAAAAATTTGGTTTGGCATGCATCACACAACTTCCCTTTACTACCCTACTTGAATAATAAAATATCTCCTCAAATAGATCTAGGTATGAAAGATAATTTTTTTCCATGCTTGGCTCAATAGACCTTGCAGATCTTTGGCCACCTATTTGCTTTGAGGTGTTGACTGACTGACCAGTTTCTTTTAGCAGTTCTTAATTGTTCTTTCTCTCTATGTGTTAAGGTTCGGATTCCAGTTAGGTCAAATTATCATATGGAGAACTTTTCTTTTGAATCTCTCAATTCTTGCTTCTCGTGTTCCAGTCACTAGCGGATTCAGGATTGAATTTTGGGGGGGGGGGGGCTTCAGCCCCAAAGATTTTTTTTTATATACATATAACGATAATTAATTAGAAAAAAAAAGAAATTAACTACCTATGTGAAATGGTGTTTAAGTGGTGCTAGAAGTCCTATTAAATGTTATTACTCGAACAAGAATACTTAAAGAGATAGTTTTTAATATTTTTTTCTGTAAAACATGGTTAAATTTTACCATTTTGAGGGGGGAGAGGAGCTTCATCCTAAAAGCCCCTCCCTCCCCCCCGTAGATCCGCCCGTGGTTCCAGTTAGAGCCCAGGTTTCACAGCCATACAGCAGAACTGGCTTCATCACGGTGTATACACTCTTAGTTTTAGATTTGTGGATTTTTTTCTGTATTTCAGTATCCTTGAAATAGAGAAGAAAACTCTGTTTCCACTTGTTATTCGCTGGTCTATCTCTGTTAGTTGATCATTTATTGGGTGTTGGATTTACGTCCACAATTTATGTATATTTTATTTGGTATTATATACCATATATTTGTAATTGGCTTATATAAATAAAACGGGGGCTCCCCGGTCCCATCCTGTCCTACTCCCACTCGAAGACGGCGTTACCTACGTCTAAAGTTCAGGTGCTTGAATAAGTAAACAGCTCTCAATCCATTTACTCTACCGAATACACAGCTCACGGCTAACGGAGAGAGAGAGAATCCCAGCCCTTCCGCTGCACGTTACAGCCCATGGGCTCCACATTGGCTGAGCATCTGTTGCAACACACTCGACGAGGCGAAAAATTGAGACAGACCAGCGGCAGTATCAGGAGAGAGGCGACAAACCACAGGTATGAGACTGGCTCCTTATCAAATTGTATGTTACAATTATTACACTCAATTAACCCTCTAAAACTAATTACCTCTTCAGGGAGATTAATTGCAAGTTACAATAAAAGGAAATTAACAAAATAAATAGTGACGTCATTCACAGATATTCCTCTACATATACTTGTAGTCCGATTTGCCCTGCTTCTTTTAACAGAGCCCGAGCGAGTCTCTCAATATCCTCTTAATTGCTTCCAAGAATAATCCGCATTGTGCTAGGAGTTTATACTTTATACCGAAGTACACCCCTCCGTGATGTTGCTCTTATTAACTTTTCCAGGGCTAAATTGAACAATATCGGTGAGAGTCCATCTCCCTGCTTCAAACGTGTTCCTACTTCATAATCTTCAGATTCTTCTCCTTGTATTAGTATCATGCATTTTGGATCATTTGTACACGCCTTCGTCAATCTCACTAACTTACCGGGAACACCCAGCTCAGTTATGGTCTTCCAGACAGTGTCCTTCCACGGAGACATATGCTGCTTTGAAATCGAAAAATAAGGCGTGTTCGTCCTGATCTACTTCCCATTATTTTTCGAGTTATTGTTTTAGGATGAAGATCCAGTCTGGTCATTATCTTATAGGCAGCCAGAAGAAGTGCTGTGCCTCTGTAATTATCACATTCGCACATGGAGCCCTTCTTAAGGATCGGACAGGTTAGCTCTGTGTTCTAGGCTTCTGGTATCCGTTCCTCCTCCTATATTTTCTGGATTAGATCTAACAGTTTGGCTCTAAGGTGTTCCCCATTAACAATCCTAATATTAGGTTGTCTATCCCTGGAGCCTTTCTTATTTTAAGCCAGCCGATAGCTATTTCCACATCCAGACTATCTGGTTTTTCAACCTCAAGTGGGTCGATGTCCTCAGTGTGGTCTATGTCTTCTTTGTTTTTGGAGTGCTCTTGATTGAGGAAATGCTGTGAGTGTTCCTTCCAGATCCTTAGAATCTTTTCTTTTGATGCCGTCAATTTGCCACCTTTCCCTCGTATTTTCGTATTTCTCGATTTATATCCTAACCTTTCTTTCTTGATATCTGCGAAGAATACGCATATATTTCCACCCTGGCAGTTTTCCTATGTAATAGTTAGTAATCTTTCTTTGAGGAATTCTCTTTTTGCTGTTCTTATTACTTAGTTTGTCTTTTTCCAGGTGGTTGTTTATTTGTCCAGCATAGCTTGATCAGGTTTTGCTTAGCAGAGGACTTTTTTTCTTACTTTTCTTCTTTCCTCCACCGCCTTTTTGAAGCTTCTGTAGACCATTTATTGACTTTTTTCTTTTCCTGAATCCCTATTACTTCCTTAGCTGTTTCTTTTAGCCCTGACTCTAGCGCCTCCCAATGTTGGTCAACCGTCAAGCGGTAGGCGTTCAAGTGTTTAAATTTATTTTTCAACTCAATTTTGAGTTCGGTCTGTACTATAGGGTTTTCAAATTACGGACTTCGTACCTCTTTCTTTCCAAAGACAAATTTCAATTCCAATCAGAGTTTACTCCACGATAGTTTCTTATGTTTTGTATGGAGCTTTGATGCCGCTTGTCTATCAGCACGGGGTCGATTTGGCTTTTTGTTCGTTTATGACTCATCCAGGTGTACTCATATATGTCCTTGTGTGGGAATATTTAAATTAAATTAAAAATAATTTTATTCTGGGACTGAAGTTCCCTTAGAATAATTGTAGAGTTTACAAAATATGTACCTTAGTCTGGCATGTAAGTATTATACAAATATATACAAAAAATACCTAGGAAATTGTAAGCACATATTTATATACATATACTAAGAAGATTACAAACATTTATAAAAAATAAAGTAAAAGTACCAAAGAAAATATAAAAATCTACAAAACATAATAACCTTAAACACAGATATATACAATAGAATACTGAGGTATAAAAAAAAAGTAAATAAAAATAAAATGACTTCTATCAATTAACTGTTGCTGGCCAACGTAATTATATAGCCCAGAAATTTTTACAAGCTTACGGAAGTTTGAATTTGTAGTAGGTGGTGGAATAGGAGTTGTTTGAATGATTTTATGGACGTGGTTTGACGTATGGAGACGGGTAAGGAGTTCCATAAGGAGGTAGCACGAATGACGAATGATTTACTGAAGGAAGTGGTTTTATGGAAGGGGATATATAAATCTATAGGTTGAGATCTGGTATTGAGAGAGTGGATAGAGGAGCGTAAAGTAAGGAGTTCTAAGAAGCAGGGAGGATTTTTGCTTCTGAGAACTTGAAAAAGTAAAACACCAAGTAGGAATTACCGTCAGGAAGTAGGATATAGTCACTTCAACTCGCTGTACCAACAAGAAATATGAGAACGCTTGGAAATCCTAAATATGAATCCTATGAAGCAATTCATAATTTTCTTCGGTCCCGTCTCCAGTTCTGTGGATAGTCCTCCATACACCAGGCAACCATAGTCGAAGTGGGAAAGACAAGGGATGTTAAAAGTGTCTGGTGTTTTTTTGAATGGAATCACGGAATCGAAGGAATTGTTTAAGGATAGTTATGGATTGACTGGTAATCTGGGTAATATGGTTGTTCCAAGAGAGGTTCTGGTCAAAGATCACTCCAAGGTTTTTGACTGTCGGAAAGAAATGGATGGGACGGTTATTTAGGTAAAGCAAAGGGGAGAAAGGAAGGGAGCTGATGAGGTGCTTGGAGCCGATTAGGATTGCCTTGGTTTTGTCTGCATTCAACTTTAGTTTATTCTTTTCCTCCCACCTATGGATACGGTCAATATCCTCTTTGGATAGCCTCGGGCGCCTCAGATGGTTGGAACGATAAGTAAATTTGTAGATCGTCTGCATATAAGTGATAGTGGGAATGACTAATGGAGTCAGGAAGGTCGCTAATATAAATTGAGAACAGCGTTGGAGAGAGTGAGGATCCCTGAGGAATAACTTGTGTTAATTGAAGAGAGGAGGAAGGAGATTGGCAGGAATAACTACTGTCTGGGAGCGATGGGATAAAAAGGAGAGGAACCATTTCAGAACGCTATTCGATATTGGTAGGCTTTGGAGTTTGGTAATGAGGATATTATGATTGACGGAGTCGAAGGCTTTTGCAAAGTCGAAAAGGACTAGGACTGTGATTTTATATTTGTCTATGGATGATTGGAGGTCTTGGGTAATCTTTAATAAGGCAGATTGGGTGGAGTATTGGGAACGAAAACCGGATTGTAGAGGATAGAGAAGACAGTTTTGTTCTAGAAACTTGGTCAAATTGGATAAAGTAGAAATGGGTCTGAAGTCGGAAACTAGTGAAGGAGCTGGGACTTTGTTCAACGGCCGGACAATGACTTTTTCCTAGGCTTTTGGAAAAATAGAATTTTGGAGGGAAAAATTGTAGATGTATAGGAGTATAGGAAGTAAGTTTGGTAGGCAGAGTTTAATGATTTGAATAGGAATTTAGTCAGGACCATAGTCGTTGGTTTTGGATTTAAGGATAATAGAGAGTAGATCAGTTGGAGAAATATCACGAAAAAAAAACTTATCTGGGTCAAAGGAGGTTTCAGTGATGGGGTAAGGAACGGGGTCAGATGTGGATACAGAAGTAGGATTTGCAAAAACCTTTACGCAAAAACAACGGTTTGCAAAAAAAAGTATTTAGTTCGTTCGGATCTACTGGATAAAGTGTGCAGGTTTTGGAGCTT